GATTTCCTGAAGAATTCCAGCCCGACCGCCTCTCGGCCGCATCTCTCTCAAATTTCGAGACGGGGCACTCTTGGCCGTCTCTTTTCCCCCTGTCCGTCATTTCGTTCGCACAAGTCCCACACCGATTGCGTGTAGACACGGGCCTTCGGGCAAACGGGTAAAAATGCGCCCCCTTCTTCTCTTTCTTCTTCTTCTTCTTCTTCTTCTCCTCTCTTGACCAGGAGACCCTCGGCCGCGGCGTGCGAAGTGGAAGTGAAGAAGTAGCTGAGAAAAACAAATATACAGAGGGAGAGCTCTGTCCGTCTGAAGCGGACAAATCTCCTAGTCGACGGACAATTCTCAACGCATCGCAGCCACAACAGGCCGCTCTACCAAGTACTACAACCCGACACGCACAAACCCTAGTCGTTTGCAAGCAGATTTACCTGCCTTCGAAAGACACCTGCCGAAACACACAGGTCGGACACACACCACCCCGTTCGCCCGCGAAGGCGAAGTAGGGCCTAATCGTTCTGTCGCCGGTCTCAGAGAGGCAGACGCGCATTCTGGCATTCTGGCGTTATTTCAGTGGACCAATCCATGCGAGTGCTATGAAATGATCGCATTTCTAGAGGAGGGGGCTGGAGCCCATTGAGCCCGTTAAATCCACCACTGTAAGTGAGCAGAGCTACATCAAACCTAATTGTGAAGTCGCTCAGTGATAAATAACGGGGTCACTTGATTCGGAATCGTATTATATCCCCCACGATGATTTGATGAATGGAGGTCGTAACGTTACGACCAAGCCGGACTCGATTTTTGACGAACGTCTAACACTGTAAGTACCAAATGGTAATACGAGATTTAATCAAGAAATCTGAATATTTCGTGTGATCATGATGTGCATCTCATCAAATTCAGCTTATACCCACAACAAATATCATCAACAACAACAACAGCTTATATACAATCGTACGTCAATCAGAGGCAAAATTCGCGCTACTCACAATGATGGGGACGGGTAATTTGTTCGAGTTATACGATAATTCGAGTTAGACGATGTTCGGTCCGATAGAAGATCTCACGACAATAAAAGACCATGTGTTACACCCTTAGATAAAGCCACAAAAAGCGTTTATTTTTCAAATCTTCAAGTTTCCGGGAAAGTTGCCAAGGCACACTCTCCTGCAAGATCCATTATTTACAGTTCGAGTTAGGCGATGTAAATATAAGACTTCGATAAGGATTGTACCGGAAATTTGGTTCGAGCTATGCGATAATTCGAGTTACAGTTTCCGAGTTATTCGATGTTTTATAAAAGGAAAACGAAAGAAAATATTCGTTCAACGAATTTTGTTCCGAGTTAGCGATAATTCGCTTTATACGGGGTCAAGTTACGCGGAGTTAGAGCCGAATGATAATGATCAATGGATGAACACTCTTCTTTTTTTTGCCCCTGGCGAATTTTGCAATGGTTTCTTCGGCATTGATGGTGCGCAGGATATCGCTTTCAGAGGCCAGCCGAACCAAATACACTAGCCTATCCTGACCCATCGTAGACCGGAGATAATTTTAAATTTGGAGAAAGATCTCTCCCCAGAACAATTAGATATCATCATACACAGATATATTCTCAATATTGCTTCAACGTTGGGGAATGTGGCCCCAGGGACTTCCGATGGAGGGCCCTCGGAGCATCGGAGGGGCCCCGTCACTAGGTCACCGGCCGTTGGCGTCCTCGGTCCGACCATGCTCGAGGCGCGCAACTGTGATTTTTATGGGGGCCCTCTAATGTGGGGGGCCCTGGGGACTGGGCCCCATGGTGCCCCGTGGTTAATCCGGCGTTGCGTGCAGGAGGCTGTCTAAAATTCGGGCGATTAGATTTTTCGGGCAGGCGGATAAAGTGAAAAACAAAAATATAATATATTTGTCGAAATATATAATATATTTGTCGAAATATATAATATATTTGTCGAAATATATAATATATTTGTCGAAATATATAATATATTTGTCGAAATGTATAATATATTTGTCGAAATGTATAATATATTTGTCGAAATATATAATATATTTGTCGAAAGATATAATATATTTGTCGAAAGATATAATATATTTGTCGAAAGATATAATATATTTGTCGAAATATATAATACATTTGTCGAAATATATAATATATTTGCCTTCTAGTTGGCAAAGACATGTCCCTGCATGCCCCCGCTTTGCGACTTTGGCGCTCGCTGGTGACCAGGAATCTAAACGGCTATAATTTTCAATTCTTTCTGGAAAAGCCCCCCCCCCCCTCCTATATATGGCCCAGCGTCCCCTATGCCCCAGCGTTGGCCGATGCGGGCAGTTTTTCATGACTACACTTCATTTTGGGCGTTTTATATCGTCTGCCCTGTCCATCAATCCGTCAACAATTCGGTTGTTAACGTGATCAAGACTACAGTTTTACACGGGATTTTGTTTTCAGATTTGGTGTGACTTTGTTTCTACAAACTGTGTCAACAGTTGTAACGGGTATGTATTTTTTTAAAATTAGGTTTGAAGCATTAGTTCTGCGACCTTCCGTTCCGTTATTCCCCCATTTGTCACACTCATACAAATGCAATTTGTATGTCAGATAGATAGATAGATTTATTCGGCACAAACATTTACAACATATACATGTATATTCATATATGGTACACAATTCTTTCAGAGCTCATCCAATCACCCTTTAATCCAGCCCTGTGCTCCAGAGTTACCCCCACCTTTTTTACAAACATGGTGTGACGCTGTGGGGTCATGAGGGGATGTGAGCACTATCGATGTTCAATATTCCGTGAAATGGTCTGAAATCCGAACTTTTTGTATCAATTCAATGACATGCATTTAGGTGACAGAAGTGTAGGTCTCTCTGAGTGAAGAAGTTATACATCGAGCTTAATATTATTTTATTATATATACGCTTGTATATTAATTTTAAAAAAAATAATAGGCCAATAGGGAAAATAAATAAGTGCTGGTTTTCTCTGCCCCCCCCCCCCCCTCCCCCCAAAAAAAAAAATAAAAAAATTGCCGACCATAATTCTAAAAATACCTACTGTTTGTAATAGACACAGCAGTCAAGCATCATCATGTGGAGTATTGATTTGGGGACGTGGCACCTCACACCCATGGTCTCTGTTAGCCTATTGTTCTGACATCGATCTACCATATATTTTGTACTGACTTGCCCAGTGGCCCACTGTCGTGTGTCCCTGTCTTGTCACAATGTTCATTGTTCAGAGTGTGCTAGGGAACGATTTTCTGGACTGGAAAACACATTTGCGGCCGTCCAATTTTCAAAATTTTCCGGGGGGTGGGGGCAGTGACGGATCATGGCGAGGGCAACCGAGGCAAATGCCTTGGCACGGGCTCTGAGAAGGGGCCCGGCGATTTGGTGACAATTTTTTTTTTTATATATTCGTTAGAGAAAATAATGAAGACCCATTTCCCAAAAATTGTGAAACATAGTGGCCTTTTTTCGATGAGTTTTGAAATTATTAGGTAGTCGATATCAGAAATGTTTCCATAACCCGAAACCGAAACTATTATTTGGGATAACTGTAGCAAAACTGCATATTTACTCCTTCAGCGTCAACAAAATCGTGCCTTCAAACTCATTTTTGATCAAGAACATTCTACTGACTTGCCCCCTTTTCTAAGGAAATGCAAGCTGCTGAATATAGAGTCAAGACATAAGTTAAACAAACTTATTTTCATATATAAAATACTTAACAATGTTTGTCCAAGTTATTTATCTAATCTATTATTGAATTATAAGACTCCTTATAGCAGTATTTATTCTCGACTGACCCTTTTCAGACCGAATTTAGATATTATTAAGAATAGTTTGCGTTATAAAGGTGCAAAATTGTGGAATGATTTACCTGAAACCATAAAAACAAATTGCAGAAATGTTCATTCTTTTCGAAGACTTACTACTAATAATATGTTTCAAACATAAACCATCATCTTACTAATACTACCGGTAATACATGTACCACACGGTAAATAATTGGTGCAAGATCGATATGTTAGCCATTATGTTTAATGTTCATTTCAATATTTCAATTGATAACCGTTGTTATATTTGTTATTTTTATTGTTTTTGTTATAAAGGGCACAACGTGTAAGAAAGGTCCATACATATCGGACCTAGTTTGTTCACCCTTTCGAAATAAAGATATTATTATTATTATTATTATTATTTTTGGTTGACAGGTAGCGGTCTTGTTAATTGTCAAAAATATTTCCGTCGGGCCCCCGTTTCTCACTCAACCAACTCGCTTAACAAGAATCGCGAACCAATATCATCGGGCCCGGACGGCAGTGGGACCCCCCACACCCACCCTTCGTACTGGGCCCCTCTCTGCGATAGTTTTTTTTAGGCTTAGAACTAAGTATGACTTCTCGCCCGTGATATTCTCCACAGACCACCATTTCAGGTCGAAATTTCAAAACATATCTCGGGGGGGGGGGGGACCCCGGACCCCTTAAGCCCCAAGAGGAGAGACCCCCACCCCTACCTTAGATTGTCATGTTGCATCTTGTCAGCAACTGAGCTAGGCTACCGGCCCGGCGACGTCATGATCCAACTGGCGAGGACCCCGGTGTACCCCTTCGTACGGGGGGGGGGGGGCTAAAAAGTTCACTGGATTACATGATTGACTTTTCAGGAACCAGGCACAAGGAAGTTGTAATGGCTTTTCAGAAGCAAATCACAAGCTAGGAATAGAGGTAGGCCTACGCAGCTACGGTATACATATAAGATAGAAAGAATAGACCAGAGCTGGTTTAGTTCACGCACTTTAAATTAAACGCAAGCTCACCTGGCTGAACCCATTATTTTTATCAGATGATTGTGCCATGGGCTATTTGTTATTATAAAGATTAAGATCGTCGAAATCCTTTTAAAAAATGTTATAGGGCACAACATGACACGGATAGGCATGAAACAAAAAGAATCACTAGTCTAAGTCCACAATTAACAACTTCCGTTAACATCGAACACGCGCTGCTGTCCGTGAACGTAGATCAAAATGGCGAACACAAAACAGGACGAAGAAATGAACTCACTGTAGGTGTAATTACACTTAATTTATCATTAGCTGCGATAAATAGCATAACCATGGCTTTGTATTTTATTTTTGAAATGAAGGTGGTGATCATTGCAAGTTTTACTACCAATGCTCTGTTCCGAAGGCAACCAAGAACATAGTGTTCCAACAAGAACACGGGACGGCCAACACGAGAGTCGAGCAGGGTGTAAGAACAGATATATGGAGCGGAATTCACGACGTAATTCTCACTTCTAGGTTACAGCTAATAATATGCTTACTTTCTCGCGCGTAACTCATTATTACTTACGCATATTAAATTGGCTATTATTTAAGTATTTAATTTTAGATCTGTAAAACAAAATGCTAATTTTTATGACATTTCTGAAACAAGTATTATAATTATATGAGGTAAATCTGACTAGGCTATTGCACTTGAAGTTGAAATGTCATATAAACCATTAATTTAATTGGACATTTATTAACAGGAAAAGACCATAATCAACTCACGGTGCCATCTTACCTGTCCAATTTTCATCAGATTTGAATCCAATCTGCTGTTCAACGTCTGCTGATGATTAAACGCAAAAATGGATAATCGAGACTTTGTTTATTAATATAAATTATTGTGACAGCGGTAACAATGACAATCGAGGCTACAGAGATTTTAAAATAAGGTTTTCTATACTTAGAGTGAAGCAATTTGACTGAAATTTTCAGCTTAGTCCATTTACACCATCAAGGTTTTAACTATTATAGTGAGAACTGCCAGCTCTTTATCTTATCTTCCATAATGTATCTTTAAATATTTTAGTTTGAAATAAATGGTATTTACTTCCAATTTTATTCATTTTAATCTGGAGCCATTTAATTAATTTTAATCTGAATAAATTTTGAAATATTAAATTGAAAATTAATTTATTAGGGGTGACTGGGGCACGATGGATCATAGGGCACAGTGAATATGTGACATTAAATAAACATATTTTGTAGGGTACCCCTAAGCCTAAATGATGTACCGTAATCGATTCATGTGCGCAGGGAACCCAATTTGCCATTTTCATAGATGGAAAGGAAAGTTGCAGCAACTTGCACGTCAAAGTAAAATAATGACCAGATACATTGTTTAAGATATTTACCTAATGATCAAGCACATATTGAATACTAATACATCTGATTAATCAGTTTCAATTAGTGAATAAACATACATAACATTTATATACATGGGGACTTATAGTAAAAGTACAGGGGATAAATTTCTGACATTAAGTGGAATCATTAGGTAGCCTATATTAGTAAAATTGAAGAAACATTGACAGATGACTCTACTGGCTATGTTTATTTGTGGATTCTTTTCAGTGGATTTTGTAGGACCCCATATCAATTTTGACGTTGATCGGAAACATTTTCTTTCCAGTAAATCAGGACATACATTTCAGATTTTAATGAAGCCTTCAATCTGTCCCCCCCCCCCCCATGGTCTCTAGCGTCATTTTGGCCTAGATCTGGGGTAACTGGAAGTCACTCTGCTAAAACACAGAAACTGAGATTCAACTCAATGTTCACCACATGGCATACCAAATACATGTACAATGTTTTAGTTTTTTACTGATGTACGCAATTTTGACAGGAAATTTTAAGCAAGCAAACAAATGGAAAAACATAAACCATGACCACCAGACGCCAAAATATCCAGAAGAAACTTTTTTCATCATAAATCAGACGCCAAAATATCAAAAATAAATTTTTTTCTTCAACTAAACTATTCGTTTATTTTTTTTTCAATAACCAAAATTATGTTGAACTGGATTCAAACTGAGGGGGTGGGGGGCTGGTACACTGACGGTGATGAGAGCCTCAAGCGGAATGAGGCTGATCTGGGACACCACTGTGTGAACATCAGGGCAGGTGGCTTATAGTTTTTAATTCACCAATTTTTCCAAAAATAGTAGATTGACAGAATCCGATTCTTATCCTACCCACGCCACTAGATGCCCACATTCAGAAAAGTCACCAATTTGCTTCCATTTACGATCAAGTATCAGTGTATGTTTTTTTTATTAATTTATACCAACAATTTTTTTTTTAAATATTACCTGACATACCTCCAGGCCCCTCTAGGATCCAGGTTCCTGGACAAGTGTCCCAGCTGTTCTCCCCCTCTCACAGGCCCTGATCGTAGTGATCAGCAGTATATATTTGCTTGGTCGCTGATATCTCTGAGAGGGATGACATTGGGGCAAGTTAGTTAGCCTGCAATATTACCTTTATTTCTTCTTCAAATTAAATTCTAAAACTTTTTTATACAGAGTTTAAGGTCATGAGACGAAGAAGTCTATTCATTTTCAGCGATTTTCGATAATTACTGCCAGAGTTATGGCCCTTGATCACTTCAAAAATTCTTGTGGACGCTCTAGAGGCCAAAGTTAATATCCAATTGACTTTCAATTTATACACAGTGCTTAAGGTCATGAGATGAAGAAGCCTATTGATTTTCAGCGATTTACGATAATTACTGCCAGAGTTATGGCCTTGTGGACGCCTTAGAGGCTAAAATTAATATCCGATTGACTTTAAATTTATACACAGTGTTTAAGGTCATGAGACGAAGAAGTTTATTCATTTTCAGTGATTTTCGATAATTATTGCCAGAGTTATGGCCATTGATCACTTCAAAAAATCATGTGGACGCTCTAGAGGCTAAAGTGAATATCTGATTGACTTTAAATTTATACACAGTGTTTGAGGTCATGACAAAGGAATCCTATTGATTTTCAACGATTTCCGATATTTACTGTCAAAGTTATGGCCCTTGATCACTTTGAAAAATCTTGTGATGCTCTAGAGGCTAAAGTTATCATCCGATTGACTTCAGATTGATACACAGAGTTTAAGATCTTGAGACAAACAAGTATATTGATTTTCAATGAATTTTTATGACTTGAACAGGTAAATCCATGATATTAAAAGTTTTGTATACTAAACGTTAGCATGGGGAAGAACTATATAAAAAACAAACAAATTCTAATGGTTTTCTGATAATTACTTCATGAGTTGTTACTCTTAATCAGATTTTAGTGTATTATAAATGTTTCATTACCGAAAGAAGTAAAAATATTTGACTGCCCGGACGATTTAACTGCTGTGGGCGTATGTTTCGTTGCCTGGCAACCTGTCTTTTAAATTATTAGAAAAATAAATAAAAACAAATTTAGTGTAAATGGGCAATTCTGCTCGGACCAGTTTGTATTACCACACATATGTTATCGATGCCATATGATGTGAGTCACAGGTAAACTATACTGGGCGTCATCTTGTACAAAGCTAAAAAAAAAAAAAGCTTTCATATTACCGCTATAGAATAGATCGATTAACCATAATTATGTAAAAATGTATCAAGATGTTGCCAGGGTGTGTGTTAGATCATTAGATCATAAGGTCAGTCAAGTGGTGTGGTACGTGACAAGGAGTAGGGGCGCCTGTCCGAACTTACAGGTTTTCTTGAGGTCCTCCGGTTTCCTCCCACTTATTGCTACATTGTATCAACATTATCAAATTTCCTGCTTTTTACTTTCCCCCCTCCCACCACATTCCTGCACAATACAAAACAGTTGCCCAAGCAAGGGCATTATATACACTTATTTAGATTTATACTACCGGGTAGGCCCATTAGGTTTCTCTGCTACCGATATTAGATGGCGAGCAGCATAGATTTTTGAAATTTCAATTTAACATTTAACTTTCTAAAAACTGAATGAAATTGAACCACTTTCGGACTGATTTTCCTTTTAGAGATTCAACTTTCACAATATTGTAGTTTGCAAGGGATTCCTATAGTGCTAAATGATGCACCAGACCTTTAAATTAAAATTGTAATTTCAAAGGGTAAACAAAAATGGTATGCAAAATACTGTTAAGGTTTCTAGTTAATCCCTTGCAGACTACATGTACATGTAGTACTAAGTCATTGTTAAAGTTTTTATCTCTAAAAGAATTATCAGTCCAAAAATGGTTTAGTCTTGCTCAGTATTTAGAACTGCTATGATATGTTCAAAAAGAATGGAAACCAAAATAGCCAAAATTGTGGTCTAAATTTATCTAAATATTTAATTGATCGTTTTGAATTCTTATGACCAGTCCACTGTATGGTCGTTTTGACTGAAAAGTATTTCAGGTTTGATCAGATTTTTGGTCTGTCTTGGTTTCCGGTTGTTGAATAGCCATAACCCTTGTAGTGGTAGTTGTAAACTAGAGTGCCATTTTTTATAGGCACACACATAGTTTGGGCATATACATACCGTAATTGTAACCAGGGCTGTTGGTCCGGTGTCAACAATTGCTTGTTAACACGATAGAGACAAGAGTTTTTAACATATTTTTTTTTCAAATATTTGGTGATGATTGCATACTTTGCAACTTTTTGTTCCAGAGTTATTACCCCTTCATTCCGACCAGAAAGTTTCTTGTTAACACAATATAGGCTAGAGTTTTTGAAAGATTTTTATTCAAACTTGGTACAAATCATAGTAATGACTGGAGCTCTACTTGATTATCAGGCATTTTAATTTAGATCAACAATAACAAAATGTTTATCAAAATTAGATGACTTCAGTCAATTGATGTGGTAAAGTAAACATAATTTTAAAATTTATATCTTGGTATGGTGTAAGTTAATAGAAAATATCATTTTATTTATCACTATTGCAGGGAAACGAGTGAAAATATACAATTACAGTTAACTGATGCTGACGGTACAACATATTCATCAATTGTTTCACAAGATGAAATGAACAAAATTCAAAATGGTATGTATCAGACCAGCAAAGTTTATAAATTTGAAAGTTTTGTAAGATTTGTATTTCTGAGTAATTTAGCTTATTTAGTAATGAACAGGCCCACGGCAGCTAAGCCGTCCTAGCCAACCATAAAGAATGTCCATCTCAACAACCATAGCCTTTATAGAGGTTCTGCAACTAATGATAAAAAAATCACTTAAAATCATATCATTTTCAAAATAACTGTTCAAAATGATTCAGGCCAATAAATATGGTAGTAATTGTAGGAAATCATTGAGAATCAATTGGCTTCTGGACATAAACACTGTGTGTGTACCGGTATCGGATGATAACTTTAGTCACTAGAACATCCATAAGCGATCAAGGGCCATAAAACTGTGTATTTACAAGTTAATCGGATGATAACATTAGCTTGTGGATTGACAGATTTGACTAAATTTTAGTGTAAGCGTATATATTTTATTTCAGTATGATTAGAAATACAGATCTTTATTTGGTTTCGTTTTTTTATACTTTCGATGGCCTACACCACATGAAGATCAAGTTAGACTGGAAGGTCGTGTCAGGGGTTGTATGAGCGCCTTTTTTACCCGATCACTTTAGACATTGATTAATCAATCAGCGTTGACATTTCTAGTGGTTTACCCACAGTTTCATGCATGGCACGCCAAGAAGTCGCTGTAACAGACCGTTTCATTGGCTAATCCCTCACTTCAACTAAAACGCCGGTAATATAAGAACTCTTCCAGACAAGTAAAATGAAATTTTGAACTATAAGAAATAAAACGAAATAGGATCTGTGTTTTAATCAGATTGATTTTATTTAATAATACTGAAAATAAAGTGATTTATATGTTACTTGTGTGTTCTAGAATGTCTATTAACCAACAACAATCTATCAAATGATGACGGTCCTGATCTGCAGAGGCATTATCCGTAAACAAAAATTCAGTGATTTTGACAATTAAAATTAAAAAAAAAAATGTAGGCTAAAACAAATTATTCATTAAAATATTACGATATATATGTACTTTCAGATATTGCATGTTGACATACTGTGTAGGCAAAACTTATCACAATATATTTTTACAAGTGAACAATATTTATAAAATTAAAAGTTGTTTCTTTGCAGTTTTCTCTCTCTTTTTTTTGTAGATCCAGTCTATAGAACTAATTTTTTGTTAACATTGAAAGAAACAAATTCTGAACAGAAACCAAAGGAGCCATTTAAAACAAAAGGTATATACATATATATGTATTATAAATTTGGACAAAATTTGTAAATGAAATGAAATGGGGTTTAATGTCTTACTGTTCTACTTCGACTGGGCTAATGAAGACGGGCATACGCCATACAGTGCCTACTCTTATATACTCTTCAAAAAAAGGAGGGGATATTCAGAAACAATACAAAACTGCAGAAATGCACTGCTGTTTTTATTAGAGGTAAGCAGTGTATGTTAATAACAGGCCAATTGTCTACTAATGAACATAAACAGTTTATATGGGCGGCTTATCTGACGGCCCCATTTCACTCGCAAAGAGATACACTGTCAAAAGTGAAAATTGACGTTTTTGATTTTTGTCTTAATAATGAGTAATTGCTCCACCAATCCTCAGACATTCAGCAATTTGTCGTGGCATGCTCCTAATCAACCGCCCAATCACGATTGCCGAGTGGTTAGCGCGTACAGTATCATAAGATCTGTCCCTGATTCAACTGGCGTGGTTTCGATTCCCCAGTTGTATGTGACAATGAGTAGGGTTGCCTGTCCAACCTGGTGGGTTTTCCCTGGGTCCTCTGGTTTCCTTCCACTGGTTAAGACCGCTAACCCCAAGCGAATCATTGAAATAAAAATTGAACCATATGCTGTGTTGAGTGGACATTAAAGCCCATTTCTCTCTCTCTATCTTAAACACTTAGCCACTGTAAACATAGGAAATAAAGGCAAATACTGTTAGAAAAGTATATTGAACAGAAATAAAAAAGTAATAATTGAAAACTGAACAAAATATAAATGTACAATTTACTGGATTATGGTATCTTCTTTGAGCTAGAGCGATATTAGAGTCTACCCTATTCTTATATGCTCACATTGAAATGTGGTCGCCCCCCCCACCCCCCCCAATTGAGGCTAAAGTTAATATCTGATTGACTTTAAATTTGTACATAGTGTTTATGGTCATGAGACGAAAACGCCTATTGATTTTCAGCAATTTCCGATAATTACTGCCAGAGTTATGACCCTTGATCACTTTGAAAAATCTTGTGGACGCTGTAGAGGCTAAAGTTAATATCCAATTGACTTTAAATTTGTACGCACTGTTTAAGGTCATGAGACGAAGAGGCCTATTGATTTTCAACTATTTTCGATAATTATTGCCAGAGTTCTGGTCCTTGATCACTTTGAAAATCTTGTGTACCTTCTAGAGGCCAAAGGTAATATAAATTGCTTAAGGTCATCAGACAAACAATTGAAAACACGTGCGACAAGCCTTGTTGACTACCCAGGTGACTTAGCTGTTGTGGGTGTATGTTTCGTTGCCTGGCAACCTATTTCTTCCAATATACCTGACATCAGATAACCCTGATTCTGAGTGTATAAATTATACAGCTAAGTGATGGACAGATTCTAATGTCTTAACTAGGAGTTCACATTCATTTAGCAAGCAAACTCGTGTATACTACTAACATTTCTACTTTCAGAAAACAGTTTACCAAAAATGTGGACCAAAGACGAAACTGATGTCCTTGTAAAACTTCGTATAGAAAAAGAACCAGCATTTCTTACTAGAAAGGTCCATTTTGAAGTTTGGGCTGAAATTGCTGAAGAAATGCGAAACGATGGATGGGAAGTGACAACTAATCAAGCAATTAACAAATGGAAATCATTAAAACGATCATATATTGCTATGGCATCCCAGGATGGGTTAAGTTCTAGACCATTTGATTATTTTCAAGAATTTCATGAAATGTATGCTGATACGACCCGTGTTAAGTTAGCCAAAATAAACCAATTCTGCAAATCTGCTTTAAAAAAGTACATAAATACATCTGCAAGTAATAACAGTTTTGAAAAGTCTCCCGAAAAAGGTCTAGTCATTGCTCAAATGGAGTCATTACAAACTATTAATAATGGCGACACATTACTTTCTGATGGGAATAATTCAGATTCAGAAGATTCTTGCAATTGTGTTCATTCATGCAAAAGAGGATCAAGGAAACGATTGAATGATTCTGAACCTATTACCGATTTCATGAAAGAATTTGTTGAATTGCAACGAGAACAGATTTTTCAACATCAAGAATTTCTTCAGAAACAAGATGAACAGCTGTCAAGATTTGAAAGATTTTTGAACAGCATGCCACATAAAAAGAGGAAAATTTGACATTTGAAAAATTGGTTATAAATAGAGATGAGATCGAAAAAAAAAATTGTAATAATTGATCATTTTGATCTGTGCAAGTTGTTATTGTTGTTTAAATATTTAATCTAATAAAATAAAAATCTGAGTATTAGTTCAATATTTATCCCGCACAAAACAAAGTTATGGCTGGATATTGATATATGGGCTCTGTCTGTCCCGATTTGGGGGGTTGGATGGCTTAGTGGTTAGCACGTGCGCGCTGTATCATTAAGTCTGTCACTGAGTCAACTGGCGTGGTTTCGAATCCCCGGTTGTACGTGACAAGGAGTATGGTCGCCTGTCCAACCTCGTGGGTTTTCTCCGGGTCCTCCGGTTTCCTCCCACTGCTAAAGACCCCTACGCGCAAGTGAATTATGGAAATAAAATTGAACCATATGTTAGTCCCGAAATGACCCTACTTCTTAAGATGAAAACCATGCCACTTGATTCAATGATAAACCTTATGATTTAAAGGGTAAGACCAACTTTTTTCAACAAGGTTTCCATAAACCTTAAATATATATTGATAAATAATCCCCTGTAGCACAAGCAGAAAAGATTTTGTAAGCGAGAAATTAATTTTTATTAAAAGCGGATGTGACATAGTTGGTTCAACACACTCACTGGGCTCTATAGTAAGCATACAGATTTGGCATAAGTTTACTGCTGTATTGTATTCATGCGTCGACCTTTGGCCAAAAATCTGATCAAATGGGCTGTTTATTAGGACATTATAAACACAAATTTATGTTTTTTTAATGTTTAGTACACAAAGTCGTCGCGTAATTTAACCATACTGAACAGTACGCTGTGCCTCAATCCACGCCACATGACTAATTGTTTACTAATTTTTGCTTGTGTTACAGAGGGGATTATTTATCAATATATATACGATTTATGGAAACCTTGTTGAAAATCATTGGTCTTCCCCTTTAAAGCACACACTTACCACTCAATTTCCCTCCAACTTTTCATCTTTATATACAAGCCAGACAGACCACTGTTCATGTTTTATTGATGCTCAGTCAGGAGTGCTTTATGTATAAAGTTTATACATACAGCAATATTTACATTAAAATACATTATATAGGAAATAAATTATGTATGAAATTGTTCAAATTTCTATCATATTCATTTTAAATAAAATTAGTTATAAACAAAATCCAAGCTCTAATCACAACTTTTCATAAACTCTATATGACTAATACCAGGTGTATGTTTTATAATATACGGTTCATTTCTCCGTAATAAAGGTTCTGTGGGATCTGTAACACTAGGATCATCATATATTGTTGTTATTAAATGATCATTCTTAGCTTTCTTTTTAAAACTTGGACAAATTTTTTTCAGTTTTTCACCATTAAACCTGTAAATTATATAAAAAAAAAAAAAAAATTAAAATACTGTAAATAGGAATACAAAAATATTTACCAGGTACAGAAAAAGACACCAATCAACACCTTTCATAATATGATGTGAAGAAAAGAGCAATAAATAACAGGGGCAGTAACTCTGTTCAGAATAAAAGTGTGATGACTGAATGATTCTTGCAAATTTAAAATTCAACCTGCAATCCCCCCCTCCCTTGCACCCCCCAAAAAAAATGTTTTAATGTATGTATATGGAATCCGCGCCAATGAGGAAGCATAGTTGCATCTGATGCGCACTATCAATTCATACAGATCGGAGAATAACTTTTGTTGTTAGAGGGTTCACAGGGTTCAAGAGAGTGAAACAAGGGCCATAGCACATAATTCTAGACGTAATTAACAGAAATTGCTGCAATTCAATAGGATTCTTTGTTTCACTAATTTAAATGATACATTAAATTTCATACAGATTGGATGATAACCTTTGTCTTTTTAACACAATAAGATGATAAAGATAGTCTGCAGAGTGTTCGCAAAAATTGTGGACGACGGACATTGTGGTAAAACAGGTCTTGGTCAGAAAATGTGTAAGTAGACTTACCCTAAACCTTTTTTATTTCGTGGATGTTGACCATCATTTTCTAGAGCATCAACAATGCCAGAATTAGTTGCTGTTCCCAAACCTTGTCCATCCTTCCATCCCTGATTCTCCATAATTTTTCTACCAACACCTTTTGTATATTTTTCAAATTTACCGATTTTCCCTTCCAAGAACCGGTCTCCACTTGCAATGCCATCCCTACGTCGCTTCTCTTGTCTCATCGTGATGAGGTCACGAGCATCTTTATCTCCTGCTCCGTCTTCATAATAACTACTCATATCAACATCCCAATCATCAGCACATTGTTCATCAAAATCTACAAAAAAATATTTGTGTTGTTACTAACAAGCGGTTGCCATGCAAGATACACCCACATTTTACAAGAACAAGCTAAAAAAAACAATTTTACATACAATCAGGAGTCATAATCCAGGATGCATCACTATTGAAAAGAACAGATCTTTTTAGATATAATCATATGTTTTAAAATACAGATGTGATGTCACCCTTTGATTTAGGCATACCATTGTTTCAAATAATTATACGGGCAACTTGCCAACCGTACATTATTTATACAAGTGAAATATTGGACTCGCGTAAAGTATTTCACTGTAAAAGCATGTGCGGAATGTCTGTATTGTAAGTCGTTTAATGGTCGCGAACTACGGCCCTCTTGTTGTTACAAAATATTAATAAAGGGCTCGCTCTCGACCGTTAAACAATACTTAAGTTTCAACAAAATCAGATAAAATTTGTGACCTCTAGAATGTCCGCAACATGCGTACGATCAGGGGCCATAATCCTTGAATTACGGTCCGATACATACCAATATCAAAAGGAACTGAAATCTTTGTCATATAAATATATATTTCAAGTCTCGTCAAAATCAGATAAAAATTGTCCACAAACAAAATGTGAATAGATGCACGGACAGGGGCGACGACAATATACGTCCACATAAAAATGTGGGACCCGGGGTATAAAAATAAATAAAGTATATCAAAATAAAACAAGAAGCTGTATGCGATTGCTATCTAAAGCCACATTATCACTGTCCTTAGGACAGTAAAGGTAATTATATCAAAAATAAAATATTCAAAATAAACTTGGAATAATTCTCGAAAATCCAAGTTATTTGAGTACAGTATTTCTCATTAGCATTCATTAAACTTCTTGGGGGGAAAAGGCTTGGCAAGTTTATCTCAAATTTTGCATACAATCTACATAAACTGCCTCACCAAAAAAAAAAAATATCTCCAAATATATATCGATAATTATGCCACGACATAATATATATAGTCATACATGTGTCATATATGTATAACGAGCCTATATTTATCATCACTAAATAAACGGTCATGTTGCATTTAATAAATTATAACCATTACATAGGGGCATTTTTAAGTGCGAAATAGTCTATGTGCCTTTAGTTTAAAATTAGTCACACTCCACCAGTCTACTGACTATTCTCCGGTCAACTGATTTGTATTTTATACAGAACAATACAGAAAGCTACATGTGGGACAACTATTCTGAATTTAGAACATCATGAGCACGCCAAATCAATGAGGTTTTAGTACCCCTGTAAAAGCAAATGAAAAATACTATTTTTCTATTCTATTCATTAATTCATACTGAACATCATAATTTCAGGTCAATGACAAATGCCTCCAGACAATTGCTCGTGGAGAATAATCTAAAAATATTTAATCAAAAAATGTTATAATATAGAAATAGGCCTACAGTAATTTGAGAACACAATTAAAACACACTGACACTATAATATATATATACATAAGTAAAACATGTCTGTGCAGTTTTCCAGTGTTACATCATTTCATTGGCCACAAATAATGTCCGCAAAACTTCCTGTAATGCTAAAAATATGCTCACAGTTTTTATTAATGATTAACCCTTTTGTCATAGTTTAACACTACCCTGGTGGCGGTAACTAAATTTACTTTTCTTTTAACTTTCTCTTATTTAGATCAAATTTGAATATTACCATCCAGGGGAAGTGTGTGTGTGTGTGTGTGAGGGGGGGGGGTGTCTATTGGTCTAGAGCCAATTTTCCTGTTTGTTCTTGCTCCCCATGATTTCATACCTCCTTCAAATTTTTTCCAGTATTGTGCATCTGTATAAAAGACTAAACCACTGCCACCCTTCTCCCATTTTAACTCGATTCTCTCTTCAAATAGTCTTTCATTATTTCTAGCTTGATTGGAGGGATCATCATAATTTGCTTCATGTCTTTCCCATTCTTCACAATCATCATTATCCTGACAAAGATAAAATTGTCATAAAAATTCAACTATGGTACTACGCTACCTGTACTTACTAATTATAACATACAACTGTCATACCCCAGTTGGTGCTGACCTGACATTATCCTCCTTTTCTTTCTGTATTCATGTACATGTATTCAAAACTGTGTAAGTTGACAATTTTTAAATTTATAAACTGTTTTTAAACACCCACATTGAAATGTGATCGTATATTTTCCAGTAGAATTCCTCCTTTGGTTTGGCTGAACAACAACACAATTTATATGGAAAATAATCACTGGTTTATACACATACATGTATAGCACGATATTTCAACAAGCATTCTCTTATTGTATTCTTGCTATATGTGTATAAACCAGTGATTGTGTTCCATATAACTTGTGGGTTTTTTTTAATGTGCTCAATCACTAAATGCCACTCAAGGATTAAACTTTAGCAAGGTTGATAATAAAAATCTCAAAAACTCTTGAGCGTACATGTACAGTGTTTACAGGTTTCAGTGACCAGTTAGAGTAACTTTGTGGAATACTGTTGCATGTTCCTGATTTTCAATAAAGTTCTACAGACAGTTTTAAAAAAAAATCAGGGTGACAATATTTACTAATATATAAAAAGTTGGCATGCAAAACACCCTAAATTTATTAAGTCTTCCCTTTATATATCTTACCTAATGACATCTCACAATCTTAGCAAATCTCCTTCCTTTTTGCATGTCAATTTTTGTTGACTTTTTGGTCTAGATTTGCAGAAGAGTGTTTGAATATAAATTTTCTCAAAGGTTTTGATGAATAGTCATGATTTTGTTGCGAAACGATTCGAGTAAACAGATATTCACCAAAACTTTAGAGAAAATTTATATTGTATAGATAGATTCCTTTGAGCGGGTGTAGCAAAGAAATGGTCAACACCTTTCAATATCTTTATTAGATGTTTGTGTCATGTTGGTTTCTTTGTCAATATGGGAGGTTAAAGTGGTGGTTGAATGGTTAACACGTTTGATCATCAAAGATCTGTTATCAAGTCAAAATAGCGTGGTTTGTTTCAATTCCCTACTTGTACGTGACAAGGAAAAGGGTCCTCCAGTTTCCTCCCACTGCTAAAAAACCCCATTAAGATCATCAGAATGTTAAAAAAAAAAAGAAGATTAAAGGCAACATTAAAACTACTGTAGTAATTATTTCCATTGATGTATTTATAATTAGACAATTTTTCTCTCGTTTTCCTGCAGTTTTGGGTTGACTTTTTAGATCAGAATTGGAGAAAAGGGAACAAATTTGCAATTTCAGTCTTGGGTAATACTGATACTGATATTATAGGAGAGGGATGGGGGAGGGACAAAGTGTCTTTGTGCAGAGCAATCATTGCGTCGGAAGTGACATTTTGACCCCAGTCAACATCAAATCCTACATCAAATTAACCCCTTACAAAATTTTGATGAGAAGACTTTCAAATGTGGTCCCCTTTAAATATTGGAACCAATGGAATGTTGAGCTAAAGGCTACAACCTGTGACTGTGTGATGTTATAGCCATGGACTTTATTATACGGTCCATGGTTATCCCAGTGAAGTCAATGGAAAAATAACTGCTACTGTAGTCCAGAAGTAGATTGAATTATCTCCCTTACCTCTTCTGATTCACTTTCATCACCAATCAATTTCTCTTCAATTCTTTCTGCTTTTAATTCTCGAATTCTTCTTTTTTCGGCTTTCTTTGCCATTCTTTTTGATAAATAATCATTTTCTGTATCTACAGATGCTGAAGCATCTGACTCTTTATCCTGTAGTAATTTGGTTCTGATAGGCACAGAAGACAAGTCTATTTCTGTTTCACTTAGCTTTGAATTTAAATGTGTAGAATTTTCACAAACTTGTTGCACTGTGGATGTTTTAGAAGGAGAAAGTCTGTTTTTGGCATTTAAGAAAGACTTATCCTCTTGAGGTGACACTATTTCTGATTCTGAATCAGAACTGTTCGTAAAATCATTTACTTCACTGCCATAATCAAATGGAACAGAACCAAACATTTTCCTTGGCTTTGTTCGAGGGAACTGAAGTCCAAGCTTTTGGATTATTTTTGGAGGTAATCTGCATTCTCTGATAAATTTTAGGAATATTTTCGTTGGAGTTCCTATATTTCCATATGGCATCATTTGTGGGGGATTTAACTCTGGTAATTTCATTAGGTCAGATTCAGTGAAATCAGTTCTGTCTTCTGGAATTTTTTTCTTTTCATTTCTAGTCTGGTAAAAATCATTAGATGCTACAAATACAAAAAACATACTGAAATTAGTCTAAAACTTATACATGTAAGTCTACCACTGGACGTTTATAGGCCATCATCACACTTTGATTCCCCATCACATAAACATACATGAAAATAATAAAGAGACGTGTGGGTTGCCAGGCAACAAAACATAAGCCCACAGCATCCAAATCGTTCACACAGGTTGTCACATATTTATTTTTTGGTGTTTAATAGGAGCATTTACAAGACACTAAAAACTGATCAAAAGTATCCACCCATGAAGTAATTATCAGAAATAATTAAAATGTGATCATTGGCTTCTAGTACAACATCTAACATTTATTATACAAAATATGTACATGTAAGGTACCAGTAATCAAATAACTTTAGCTTTGAGATATTGAAAATCACTAAGCTATTATGAATCATAAACATAAACACTGTGTTTAAATTTCAAATGAATTGGATAATACTATAAATTATAAATTCAAAGATAATCAGATGAAAACTTTAGCCTCCAGGGGCGTCTGCAAGATTTTTCAAATCAATAAAAGGTACATGTAGTAACTCTGGCATTAATTATCGGAAATAGTTGAAAATCAATAGACTTCTTCTCATGAACACACACACACTGTGTTTCAATTTAATCGGATGATAACTTCAGTCTCTTGGTGTGGCCGACAGATTGTCGTATGTAACAACATTATACATCCACATTTTCAGAATATAAACGATACTCATTGTAGACTGTGATGGTAGCTTACTCGCCCTCAAATACAATCTTAGGAGAGTGACCCTTTGATTTCCTCAAATTTCGGATGTCAATGTCTGATGCAGTACTCTGTAGATCTAATTATATGTATACACTGTACATAAAAATAACAAATAAATATGAATCAGAAATACTTATTAGTAACATGTAGAATGTTCCATAAAGACAATGAAAGTCAGTGAAGCAAGAAGGCAAATCCATTCTCAATTTTTTTATAAAAGAGATACATTTTGGTTTCTCACAATTTACAAGGAACCAAGCTCAACCAGATACAAAGCCAAAACGGGATATCCTCGAGGAGTCCATGCCGATCAATGGCAAGTAATATTTGGGTGTTCTGGAAAGATTGCATGTACATGTAGACAATCCAATACCATAATTTACAGTTTGAATGTCAAACCTGTTCAATTTCATAGCCTATAGGCACAACACAGCCTCTACTACTTTAATTATTCTTTGACCTACATATAGGCTACATGTATTTCCTACACAGATTGCTAGAACAACATATGGGGAAAATGTCACATTCATTAAAGAGTAAAAACTAATTTGTTTAAAAAGACTATTCAAAGAAGTTACTTCACTGTTCTACAAAACAAGCAAATTCATGAACCTTTCAAGTACAGTACACAATTATTCTTTCAATCCCTGTAATAAAACATCTATAGAGCTATTTCAGGATCCCCTGGTTAAGTCAACATACTGTTAGCCTAATTTGTCTAAATATAAGGACTCCGAAAAGAATTTAATTGGCCTTACAGTTAAGGGTTGATGGTAGTGCCATAATTAATTGTCCATGTTTTATTGTATTGTCTTATACAATATGCTGCACTCTCCTTAATGTCTCTATTCTAATTATGTTGGAAAGAATTCAGTTTGAAAACATTTAATTGAGTATCCACGTTAACAAATAATAAAAACTAAAATTTAAGTCACTTTTATATTATAATAAAGTCCACAAAAAAATCAAAGGCTTACCATTTGAAGCACTCTTACATGTAGCCGTAGGTGTATTTTCATTTTTCTTGTCAAGTCTAATTTCTGAAATATAGCAGACACTTGCTAAAGAATCTCCACTTTTCGCTAACCAGTTTGCCTTATTATAAAGTCTAAGTAAATCGTCTAAATTATGTCGTTTCACACGTATAACACAGCATGTCGTGGATGTTTTGCTGCTACTTTCATTTTTGTTTACACTTTCATGTAAATTTTCGTATTGCGTCACTTTAGACGGTTTTTGTTTTTCAGGTCGGTGTCTAAAATGAAAACAATCAAATCTTCCACTCTCTATGAACTGTGAGAAAAAATTTCGTAAATCCACCGAATGGTAGAAGGGAGGAATATTGTTTACAACAGCAATACAAGTTTCACTATCACTATCTGACGCCATTTTCTTAGAAGGGGAATACCGCTCACGTTGTCTAGACGTTGATTTTCTCTATTTTTAGAAAATGTTCGGGTTCATTATGTAAAGAGGGTGTAGATTTCAATAACACATACTTAAAGGGGGTCATAAACCAATGTAGACCCGTTGGAGATGTGTCAATATAACAGATTATATAATCCTTAAAATTATAATATAATTTAATGTTTTACTTATAAAATTATCGACAAAATCAAACTCTCCATAGTCACTTATCTCTCTTCCGCATGGGATACACCCTAGGTCACGTGACGGAAATGAGTCAGTGACGGTAGAAGCTGTCAGATAAAGTGTGCTAAAGAATACCCAAAGTTCGCCTTAAGGTGGGTGCTTTTTGACAACTTTTTATCATGCAACATATTAATTACTTCGTCGCTTTTAATGTTTATGACTATTATTGGCTTATAGTGCGCTTTTAAAAAGAAAAATATGGAAATGTGTTGGTTATGTCATAATTATTGATTGTCACGAAATAAGGATCGTGCTTTGTTAGTTTGAAACTCAGTGTATGTAACTGGAGGCCTACAGCCAGATAAGACACCGGTAACATTTACATTATGCCGACATTCACAAAGCCTATGTCTATGAAGATACTTCTTCGCTCTTTCTATCGACTGACGTAAAGTTGACATAAGCAGGTAAGAAGTACGGTAGTTCAATGGGTCCGACCATTCATCAAGAAATCCGTTGTTTACAAGGATTAACTTTAGGCATTCTTTTAATAAGGGATTGTCTCGCAATTACCTGGTTCGACGGGCCGACCTCCTAAAAATTAGCATGCCGCTCAATGTTTTAAATTGGCCTCTTCAAAAAATAATGTTCTAGGGTTAGAGAGTTGTATTTTTTTTTCTGTTGGGTGTTGTGTACCGGTAATATCATAATATTACATTACAATTTTTTAAAGATATGATACAAAAACAAGCTTATTTAAGCTTATATAATTTTGCTTCATATATCATGGTTATGTTACTTACTTGTGATGTTTCAAGAATATGATAAATATGATAAGAATATGTTGTTATTTTCATTTCTTTGACAATTTCAATTACTTTATTCCACCTCTCACACCTCATTCTCCTAGATTGAAGTCCAAGATAGATCTCAGTGATGAAAACTAGTTAATTTCGAAGTACAATTATCTGAAGCCTTATGAAGTTTTCATTGTCAATAAGGAGTTTGTCATAAGTCTCCCCAAATCCAGGCCATGCAAGTGCCTGTAACTGTAATAATATGTTTATATTATACTAGCCGAAGTTAGTGTGGTAAGCACAGTCTTCGCAATTATCAAGTCACTTGCAACTTATACATGTACTTGTAATTGAAGAATGAGTTACCCTGTGATTATTTCCAAATGGCCCAGTATTTTGATTTAAGATTTTCAGATTATGTGAATTGGCTGAATTGTCAGATTTTCAAACTCAAATTCAATTTTATTTACGATTTTTGGACTTTCACTTCAGTTTCTATTAGGATTACAGGAGTGGCATCATATCACAATCTGTTATCCTTCCATTCCAAATATTAATAAATAAATAATATTACTACATACTACATGGTATTTGTTGTAAAATTATAGTTATAGCTGCGGCAAAGTCTTATGTGTCACAAATTTGTACAAGTGAATGATTATAAAAAATGATATGGACAAACATAAGTTGGCCTTCAGATATAGTATACAAATTTCCTCCATGGTCAAGGCTAGAGAGCCTGTGTAATGTGTTTTTCACTTTTATTATGGTAATTAATAATATAGTACATAAATATTGATGATACCATAACATAGTGCAAAAATTGTAATGGTCAGGAAAAACAGTCTATTGCCTGACAAATATACTATTCAAAAAAAGTAGGGGATATTTGATTTTGGGGGCATAATACTAAAATATGCAAATGACTACGAAAAAAGTCACTATAGAACCTAAGAGAAGAAACATTTCCAGTTACATGTGACGCCCAAACGCACCAATAGCTACCGCATGGAATGCAGGTGATGCTTGGGATCATCATGGGGGTCCAACCCAAGATTTGCACGACTCTGACTTTGAATGTTACAGTCATTGTGGCATTGAATTCCAGGGTGGAAACATCAGTTTAATTGTTTTAGTGACCAGAAAACAAATTTTGATATGCGTCGGCTTACCCAAAATGAAAGGTTACGTGCCCTTGGCATGCTACAGATCGGCACAACACAGGCGGTTGTGGCGCGGACGATGAATGTTTCTCAGTCTGTCATAAGCAGGCTATGGTCCAGATACCGTGATACACAATCTGTACAGGACAGACCACGCTCTGGTCGACCAAGGGCGACAACTCAAGCCCAGGATCGATTTATCAGTACATTGGCCTTGAGAAATCGTGTCATCACAGCAAATCAGATCAGCGCTCGTCTTCAAACAGACACTGGTGTGAGAGTGAGTGGCCAGACGATTCGGAATCGACTGCATAGGGGTCACCTTCTCGCCCGACATCCTCGCGTGATCCCTTGTTTGAGAGATCATCACATTCAGGCAAGACGTCGTTGGTGTAGGGATCGTCAACACTGGGATAATCGACGCTGGAGCAATGTGATGTTTTCAGATGAGTCAAGGTTCACTGTTGATTTTTTAGACAGACGTAGGAGGGTGTGGCGTCGTCGAAACGAGCGCTTCCAAGACGTTAACGTCATCAGACATGATCGATTTGGGGGTGGTTCTGTTATGGTGTGGGGAGGCATCACTGTTGCTGGAAGTACGGCTTTACATGTTGTTGCAGGGCGTGTTACAGGCCAGTACTACCGGGACAACATCTTGGCAGTCCATGTTGTGCCGTTCGCACGACGTCATGGCCGCCGTTTCATCTTCCAGGATGACAACGCAAGATGTCACAGGGCCAGGATCGTTACAGGTTACCTCCAACAACAGAACAGCACCACATTACCCCTCCCCCATCGAGCATGTCTGGGACATGCTTGGACAGAGGTTACGTCAACGTCAACAACGTCCTGCCAATGTCCAAGAACTTGCTACTGCGTTGCAACAGGAATGGGACAATCTGGACCAAAATGACCTTAGACGTCTCATTAGGAGTATGCCACGTCGGATCAATGCTTGTTTGGCAAACAGAGGAGGATTTACCCGTTACTGACTTGGTTGTGATGCTGTGGTAACTTTGCTGTTTGACCCCGGGTATCATTTTACCCTTATAATGGTCAGTCTGTGCCTTACTTAGTCTAACGATCATTTGGAATAAATCGATGAATGTGAACTTCATTTCATTTTGTCATTTGTTTCTTCGTCAGTGTCATTAGGTGACTTTAATAACACTTAAAAATCAAATATCCCCTACTTTTTTTGAATAGTATACATACAGAGAAGGAAATCAAGCTGATTCGGACCATGGCTGATTCGGACAGCTGATTCGGACTAAAAGTCATCACTAATTACACTATTTATTGTCATTTTTGTCTTATTATCAAATATATGCAAACATACATTTGTATTTTAAATACTCTCGTAATTTAAATAATGGTCCGAATGAGCCTTGTCATGGTCCGAATCAGACAAAAATCTAGTCCCAATCAGCCAAGAATCTGGTCCGAAACAGCCACGAATCTGGTCCAAATCAGCCGATTACCCAGAGAAGATGTGGGGAGATCTCAAAATGTTTGCATGTGGTGACTTCAAAGACTATGACACAAAAGTCATGCTGACAAGGGTTTACCCTCCAGGTCAAATGACTTGTGCTATTACAAATGTACATACTTGTACTATATTATTATACATGTACTGGTAGCTTAATTGTGGTATGCCCTTATTAGTAAGAATAGGCCTACGGCACCAATTACCTCATGACATTTAAAAATTGATTAAGATTTTAGTGCATTAGAAATCTTGATTTTAGCGAAGTGAGAAAAGAAATCTACATTTTTGTGCCTCTTTATTAGTCTTTAGTTAGAAATATATATTATAACAAAAAGGAAGTTTTATGTTTGTACATGTAATGGTAAAGCCGTCATAATTAGATTTCTGGGTACATTGTATGTGGTTCAGGTCACAACCAAAGCAAATATACAGAAGTTGTTCACTCTCTTCTGAAATATTTTAAGTTAGTTCATTTCAAAGGAAAATATTGTTTACCAAGGGAAATAACAATGGTTTGTTAAGAGGGAAGCAGAAGTTATTCAACAGTTACATGCAACTGATCAGCTGATAAAGGAGTTTCACAGAAGTTTGAAGACCAGAGATAACCCTGTCTTTAAATTTACATGTTTACAATGCAGCTGGGAACTTATCCACATGTACAATATTGTACCCATGTCCTGTCTTATCCGCGGCTACAATTGATACACTATTCAACTTAATTCAAGGCTTTCCACAAGTAAAATTAGGTTCAATTGCAAATTTTCAACAGATATTATAACAGTTTGCATGGAAACAAGTAATTATGTTTCAAATAGTGAAGAGTGGAACACTGAAATCTTATCTTACCGAACTTCGGAACAGATTTTCTGTATTTGAGAGTGACATGAAATCAGGTGATTCAGGTTCGACGGCCATTTTAAAATGAACATAAATTTTGCATAGCAGTTGGGTTTAATCAAGTCATATAATTTCACCTTTATTTCAATGTTAATTGGTTTATTATATGTTAAGCTTTGTTCAGTACAGTTTGGGGTCAGTGTTATTGGAAATTAAGGGAGTTATAGGCCAGTAACTTTTTTGTAGTCAAATGACTATAAAACTTGCTCAAAGGAAGGTCTTAGAACGATCCACTACTGTGGCTGGAGCAAGACGGAAGACATCAGTAGTGGAACCATTTCTACTGTGAACTTTGTGTTTGCATTTAAAAGTACAACGTCTAATGTAGATATTAGCAAAATAATCATTTACATACATGAATATGAAAAATGTTTATGGTGAATGGTACCTCCCACTGTCCCCAAAACACCTATTGTTTTACGAGTAGTAAATTATAGGTCTGTTGACAAGCAGTTTTACATACATGTGATGTAGTGCCAGTCTCAACAGCATCCTGGATCCTCTCTGTAATTATAAAAGGTTGCAGCCTTCACAACTCTCAGGCATGTGAAGGAAAACTGCTATCTCCAAATGAACCAAAATTAGGTTTATTATTGAAGTAAATGTAATTGGTTTTTGGTATACAGTAGGTAAATTTTATTAGAAGATTAGAGTTGAGAATGTCTGATAACCATAACATTTCATTATCTGGTTACACATGTTCATATAAATTTTAGTCTATTCATCTGCCAGCTTCTCTTAAAGTTTATGTTTAATGAAGATAACTTTCATTTGGTTGAAAATCTGTGAGGTCAGTAGCCCATTAATCCTTTGATATCAGCTGTTTTATTTTTAGTGGATGATTCACAGAAAATTGGCACGGTTTTGCTCATTCTATTTATTGCTAAGATACAACAGAGGCGTCTGTATTCCCATTCATGACTTTTTGAACCATACTTTCTCCGTTTATGGATGAAATATATTTTTTTGCAATTCGTCAGACTAAGATTTGGCTTGACAGCCATTTATGATTGGTTTTATTGATTCCAAATGAATCATCATACTTGAATTATATTCATGTAAAATCACTGTACATAATGGACAATTTATCAAATCAAGGCATTACATGTACATGTATGTCC